AAAAATCCACTGCATTGTGTCACCGGTGTGCCCCACCAGGTGAGACATGGCCATGGACACCAGCTCCGAGATCACCATCAAGGACTTCAAGGAGAAGTTGTGGAAGAGGCAGAGAATGGAGGAGATGCACCTATAAATGGGAACACTAATGAGAACAATGGGAAGCAGCTGACAATGGGATAGACGAAGAAAAGGAAGAAGAAGCAGGATGTGGGTATGATGAGAGGAAGAGGATGGAGGTGAAGATGAGGTAGTTGAGGCAGCCATGGGCATACAGGCAGCTGAAAATGATTGAGGGTGATCATGTTGACACCAGGAAACAGAAGATCAATGAGGATGATTAGACAGCAAAAAAAAAAGTTAAATTAAAAAATTAAAAAAGGCTGCTATGACCTTTCATCTTCCACTCCCTGCTAAGAATCTAAATATGGTCACCTTCCAGTACAGTCCCACCAGCCAGCGCACCACAGGCAGCCCCACACACAGATGACACAAGCTCTCCGCCACCCAACCAAAACCACAACATGAACTTGCAACTGGGCAGGGAGAAAAGCCCAAAACTCCCAAGGCCCTGATTTTTTTCTTAAAAGTACATAGAAAAATTTGTTTGTATTTTTATCTATAGTTCATTTTTTTAATTTTATTTATTTTTTTTTAGAGAGAGTGGAAGGGATGGAGAGAGAAATGCTGATGTGGGGGAAAGACATGGATCAGTTGCCTCTCTCATTCCCCCAACCAGGACCCGCCTGCAACCCAGGCATGTGCCCTGACAGGGAACCAAGGGGCAACCCTTTGCCATGCAAAGCCCAACCAACTGAGCCTCTCCAGTCAGGGCTTATTTTCATTTCATATTTCTGTATATATTTTTAGGGGTAGCCATTTTTAATGATCTTGGGTTGTCAAGATCAAGCAAGCCTTTGAAGCATTGTCTTTCCTACTTCTGATTATGCTTGTGGTGTGACCATGTTCATTATAACTCAAAGGAGAAAAAATTCCTAGTTAAAAGAGCAGAAACAATAGCAAAAATAATCATAGTCCAAGCATTCCAGTAACTTCTTTTGTATATGTAAAATACTTAGCTGTACTATAAGTAGTTGGTTTGTATGAGATGGTTAAAAGGCCAAAGATAGATGGTTTCATTTTTTTCCTTTTTTTTGTCTATAAAGTTGCTGTTTATTTATTTATTTGGCCTGTTTGATGCATGTGTGAAACAATGTTGACCAATAATAAACCAGAATTTTATTTTGATCAGTTGTTTTAACATAAAGAAGGAGGATGAGAAGGAGAAGAGAAACAGGAAACAAATATTGAATTCTACTTAATTTTCTAGTTAGTTTTATGCATGCTTCAGTGTTTAAGGATGAAGTGATACATTGTAATAGCTATCTATTCCTCTGTAACAAATCACCCAAAAATGTAGTGCCATAAAAAAATAAATATTTACTATATTATAGTTTTTATAGGTGAAGAGTTTGAGAGTATCTTAGTTGGGTGGTTCTGGGGCAGATTCTTTCAGGAAGTTGCAATCAAAATAGTGGGAGAACCTATAGTCACCTGAAGGCTTGACTGACATTGGAGAATCCTCTTACAAGCTTATTCACATGACTGTTGGCTGGAGGCCTCAGTTCCATATCAAATGAGACTCTCTACAGCACTACTCATGACATGCTAGCTGGCTTCCCCTAGAATGAATCATCTAGGGAAGACTGAAGGATGTAGGGCTTGGTGCATTTCATAATCTAGCCTTCAAGGTCACACACCATCACTTCTGCTATATTCTTTTCTATCAGTCACATTTCACCAAACCTAATAAAATATAAGTGGGAACCGTACAAAGGTAAGAATATCAGGAGATAAGGATCATCTCAGGGGCTGGCTACCACAAGGTCAGTGATGCCTGCAATTCACATTAAATCTTTAAATGTACCCAAAACAGATGAATTGATCAATGGATAAGTAGTTGAATAAATATCCTGATAGACATAATATAAAACATATATAGTAAAATATTAACAACTGTGGAATCTATGTTGTAGGTGTATATGTGCTGACTGTACAACTCTTTCAATTTTTCTATATATTTGAAAATTTTTATGATAAAGTAAAATTTGGAGGAAATTGCTTTACACTAAGAAAATATGAGGAGACAGGGTTTCTTCTAAATAGAAATCTATGAGAAGTGTTCGGTGTAATTTGAAGGTGGAGATATTGAAGGATGATGGTTGATATAAGACATAGATGCTATTAAGGGAGCTGAATTGGAAGAAATGTTTCCACTGAATAACTGGGCTGAGAGAGTCTCATATTGGACACCTCTATCTGTCCCCAAACCTCATGAGGGAAAGCAAGGCACCTCTCATGTGTGCAGGTGGACACAGACCTTGGCAGAACAAAAGCTGCTTTAGGATTGGGATTCGAGAGAAGACAGCAGCGGTCTGTGTCACCAAAAACTGACATCTGAAGACCAGATGGGAACAAGGACATTTTGGTAGAAGATGATATAGATTACTGACAAACACCTAAACTAGATACAAACCCACACTCCCTCCTGGATTCAAGCACAATCCAAAGGAGAAAAGGGTAAGGAAGTAATAGTGGTGACGAAAGTGAGAAAGAATGGCTAGAAACATAGAAGCTCATAATTCATGGTGTGTGGTTTTCTCTGGGCATTGGTATCTTAAATACTTTTATGAGTCATTCAACTTTCAAAAAGGATAGGAATTTCTTTTTTTGCATAATTGGCATTGACAATAATGTCATTTTTAAGGATATGATAGAAAAAGTTGTACAGAGAGGGAAATACTGTCAACATTAATACAAGTGTAGTTCCTTTTTAAAGGTATTACAACTTTTCCTCAAAAAATACATTTCAAATGGTTTTCTTAGTACATAAAACACAACAAACCATAAAGTGCAACTCCAAAGTCTATATCTGATTATGAATGCCTATTATTTAAAAAATAATGTGAATCAGTCCATATGACTATCACTCAGATAGATAGAGACAAACTGAGGCTCAGATGCACGTGTATCCACACACAGTCTCAGAGACTGAAATGGGAGGAAAAGCAAGCCCAGGATCACTCAGAAATGGGAAGCAAACACACAAGCTAAAGACAGAACTTGGGCTTTTGTTGTAGTTATGTGTCCCCTGCCCTCACAGCCTCTGCAGAGTCTAGAGGAGAAACCTTGGCAGCAGGCAACAGAAAGAACCAGACGCACACAGAACAATTCAGAACAATACACAGAGGACAATGTGGATTCTTTAACTGCCCCTCCCCTCTAATTGTTAGCCATTTATATGAAACCTCATGAATCTGGGGTGATGATGGCTGGTGGAGGGAGGGGTGGGGCTCAGGCTGCTTCTAAGAGCCCAGCTCACAGAGGCTTATTTCTCACCCCTCAAGGGAGTCAGAAGGATTTGGTTACCTAGATCCAATACATTTCTGGGAAAGGGTAAATATCAAATGAAAAACAACCATTGAGTTTGTGTTAAGGCTAGTTTACTTTTTAAATTCTGTTTATAAAATATTTTACTTTTCTTTCATTTTCACTTTGTCAAGGCACCAGCAGTATCTCCCTCTGAACATGCAATGGAGCCTCAGAGGTGATCCCTTCCCTACTTTACCTTTGATAAAGTGCAGAGCAAGGCGGGGAGGAGAAGGTCACTTGCGCTGACCAGAGGGCAATGCTCCCATGCAGCTGAGAGAACACTCAGTCTCCAACTGCACGTGTTGTTCTGCTTGCCCCAGGTGTGGCAGGATTTCCTGGAGCCCAGTGTGCATGTCCCTGGAGTAACAGAGAAAAATATATCCTCACCAAGCAGATTATCCAATAAAAACAAAAATATATGCATTATTTTAGAATCTCAATCTTTAAAACTAGATTCTTTTTGTAATATAATTTGCACAATCTGGCTTTCAGGTGCTGGTGTTAGAGTAGGCAATTAGATATTAACAAAAGGGGAGAATGGAACCAGATATCTGAATAAGCCTGATTAAATAGGAAAAAAAAACAGCTTTACAGCCATCCCATGCAGGAAGTAACAGACATCCTTCCACCAAACAGAGCAAAACATCCAACTGTGCCGTAAGGACAGCTTTTCCAGACTAAGGGTATGTGCTGCTGGAACCCAAATAGTGACCATAAAAGAGGGAGGGCAAAACCTGGGAAAATCTGGGGGAAAGATCAGACATGGGAAAGGCACTGGCCCTGGAAAATCCAGGAAAGAGACTGGATAGGGGGAGGGCACAAGTACAGCCTGGGAAAAGTCAGAAAAAAAATCTGGGACAGTTAGAAAGAAAGCCTCCTCTTTTCTAAACCCAAGGGAATATAAGGAAGCTCAACAAAGACCTCAGGGCAGCTGCTGGCCTCGATCTTGCCCACTCCTCCTCTGTGAGAGTGCACTACTTTTCTCTGCTTTAATAAATCTGGCCACTATCGCTTAAAACAGCTCCAGTGTGAGTATCTCTGAAATCCTTTTTCCACGACCCTGCAGAAGAGCATGTTTCCTCCGGTAACACTAATGTTCCTTAAAGCAGGGCCTGCCTGTTGTGAAGGACACCTGTTGCTTCAGACGCATCCCACCTTCTCACATCAAGACAAGAACAAAATCTCCTAAGGAGCACCCAGCCACGAACTCCAGCGTCTGAGGACACATTGAGGCAGCTGTCTGTTCCGAAGATGAGCAATAAAATATTTTACAAAGACACTCAGTTAAATTTCCAATTAAAATGATTTAGTACCTTCACTTTTTAGGTTTTCCCAAGGTTTGCTGATGACTAAAATTATGTAATGAAGCTTTCAAGGTTAATTAATCTCTGCACCTTTACAATAACCCAGAGAGATAAGAGGCACAACGAAAAGGAGCAGATTAATGTATGAGCAGATTAACCCACAGGAGGCCAGTCTCTTCCAGCGTTGGTGGTTTAAAGTGGGTCAGACTAGCATTAGGCCACCCGGGAGGGGGCAGGGTCATGAGCAGTCTCTCCTAGGGCAACTGTGTCCAAACCAATTCTGCTGCTCCTGCCATCCCTCCTGCGACGCCTGTGGCATGCCAGACTGCTGAGATTCAAAGTACCAGGTGAGGATGGGTGGGAGGGAAGATGATCACAGTGGCAGTGAGTAGTCCCGAACAGTGGAGCTCAGAAACCGTGTTCAGTGAGGGATTTAAATGATTCTAAAAACTCTCTAAGGGGAGACCCAGGAAACCTCAGTCTCCATGTTGAAATCATACAGAGGTGAAGTGGAAAGCTACTGTTAGCTGGTCAAACAGGTCTAAGGCATGAGAGAGGAACTTTAAGGCAAAAGAGCATTCTATATTTGTGACACAAAGCTGAGTTGTACCCACAGGGAATGTTTGTTATCCCAGATTGGAGTTAACAAGGTCATAGATGTATTTGCTCAACTGTCACTATTACTTACAACAGGTAAATGCCTGTGCTCATTATTTACCTTTTGTCACTCCAGTTCATGACCACTCATGCTGCTCTGGAATGCTGGGGCTGGTGCTTGCAGTCTGTATTTCTCAGATTCTCTTGCTGGAAACCACTGGATTCTGTTTCAGTTCTGCTCATGGAAGGCACTGAATAACAAAGGGGAGTGAAATAGGGAAGCAGAGAAGTTCCTCTGCATTTTCCAATTCCTGCCGGCCTCATTCAAGAAGCAGGTGCAAGCTATTGATACTGGTGGATTATTCCTGATAACAGACAGAGCTGGGACTGAGACTTGGTTCTCTTTGACCACAAATATGCTTTATCTGATCCTACACTGCCTCTCCGGTAGGGAAACAGAGAGAGAGGGCAACATCAGAAAACCCTGAGAAGGATGAAGAAAGTGGCTAGCAACACTTGGTGCCAGAGAGAGTAAGGGCTGAGAAAGGGCTGCTGGCCATGGCAATTAGGAGGCCACCTGTTGCGCGTGGGTCACCGGCCAGCAGTGATCACGGAACGCTGTGGATGGCTCGACGATAAACACGCGAGAAATAACAACATGCACAGAGACAGACTAGTTTCTGTGGGGAAGTAGGGACAGAATGGCCACCCCCCCTAGTGGGGAGCACGCTGATTTACCGTCCATACCTGCTTTTATTAGGCTCATCCTGCATAATAATTCAGGTAAAGTACAGCACTCACCAGGGGAAGTAAGGAACTATAGAAAACAAAGAACTCTGCCCGTCTATTGAGTTGGGGGGTCAAAGAGCTGTAAGGCTGAGGAACAAACTAGCTTCCTCCTAAGACCCTTCTCATTCAACTGAGAGCATTCCAAACAAAGAAGGTTTCACAGTAATTTACATGTTCTTTCTTAGGCCTGATCACCCCGGGAAATCCGCACTTCCCAGTACCGAGCTGTACTACCCTGTCATTGTTTCAGGCTTAGGTGGAGCACGGGAACTAAGGCCACCGAGAGATAAGGAGATTTTCTTCCGGACGCTGAGAACTCAGACTTTGTCAAAGCCGAGGAGTGAGGGTCCATCACTCCCTTTTGCTGCAGCCCCCCAAGTCCTTCTTTTGGGGGGCCTCCCAAAGTGATCGTGCCTGGCTTGGGTTGTTCCCTCCCGTGGGGAATCTTACCCGTCTTTGGCTAACCGACCAAGCTTTTTGGGGTTCAGCAGCAGAAGCAGCATTCCTGCCAGGGAGATAAGCTTTTATCTCCTTGCCGGCTTACAGTTCCAAGGGCGTTCCCTTAGCCTTAGCTTAGGCGGGGGTTTCAGCTTCTGATACCAGTCAGGGCGGTTCCCAACAGCCACCAATGGTCCTTATGACAATAGATTAGGTAGAGTGGCTGGGGACTGGGAGAAGCAGCATTGTGTGATTGCTCCCAAGATCTTTGCCCCATAGTGTCACACCCTTGATTGCTGATTAGAACCTGTAATTTGTTTGTGGCTAGTAGAATATGGTAAAGGTGAAAGACTTTGCAGATGTAATGATAGCTTTAATCAATTAGATTTGAGATCATTGAGAAGGAGGTTATCCTGGGTGGACCTGAACTGGTTAGACAGATGAGGCCTTGAAAAAGAAATGAAGCATCAGAGATAATCTCCTGCTGGCCAGGCAGAAGTAATTTGTTATACAGTGATAGAAAACTAATACAAGGACAGAAGCCATACTTTATGCAAACACACACACACACACCCACAAGCACGTGGACATGCTCATGCACACACTGTTCTTCCAGCCCCTGGCTGAGCAGAATCCTGACACCAACAGATCCGTCGTTTGGAATCATGCTGTCCTTGCCCACCTGCCTAAGAGAGCTTACTGCCAAAGCCCAGACAGCAGACCAGATCCCACTGTATAGGAATCTTATCCCAAAGCATACCTGGGTTCACATGTTCTTTTAGAAGTCTAGGTTAAGTTTCTGGTGATACCTTCTATGTTTCAGTCCCATGTTCTTATCATTACATCTTAAGGAAAAAAAATAAGCCAGTGCCATCTGGATATTTCTATTACTGCTAGTTGTTATTTTTCTATAGACAAAAAAAGACTAAGGTGTTCTTTAATTCATAAAGACTCTCACTAAGTAATAACAAAATATTTAAACCTGTAAAAAGAGAATCAGCAATAGCAATATGGGAAAAAAAAAAGGTCACCATTTTAATTTTGAGGTCTCAGCAATTGAAATGGAAATTCCCGGTGTTCATGAGGCTTTCCTACATGACTGGTTAGTTTGTTTTCTCTACCAGACAGTACTTCCCAAAGATAGACAAGATGGCAAAAACATCCATGAAAATTTCACAAAGGAATACATAGTTGATATATAGTTACCTCTATAACAAACAAACCAAAGCAGAAACTGGCATCATCATACACAGCTGAACTAAAATGCCTTAAGAAAGCAATCTGAATAACCTTGTCGCATCCATTCTCCATACCTTTCCTTTGGCAAGCGCTCCATGTCCCTGTGAAGCCTCATTTCCCCATCTATTGCCAAAGGCTACCATTTCATATCACACATCAAAGCGTGAGAGATGTCAAGGTAATGAAAACTGACACTGTGGCAAAGAGAAGGTGAGTCTCAGCCATTGTGGGAAAAATGAGGTCAAGGTCATTCTCAGCAGAGCCGTGCATCATCCTGGCTTTTCCACAGCTGTGCTCACACCTAAAACTGGACTCCACCACACAAAATGCCTCTTAAATAGCAGCCACAGGACACCGTTTGGGATTCAAAATGAATTCAATGGTAAGATAGGCAAAACAGTTTCTGTAATCTAAACCAAAATCACTCTTGACCTTGAAAGGTTTATTATGCATCTGAAATATCCCTGGCTTAATAAACTAACTACTGAGACTTCATCCACAAACCTAGCCAAATGCATTTAAATCCTTCTAAAAAATGTACATTAAATTATTAATTTGGCTTACTAGCCACCCCTTGTAGACACAGAGCCATATAATTAAAGACTCTGGAAGTCTGAAGGCTTTGGTTCTTGTATAGATCAAACTTGGGGCTTGGGCCAAGTCATGGAATTTCTTTCTTCAGTTTTCAATTTCAAAGAGTGAACTCTATTTCAGACCTTGAACTTATTTCTAGCTCTTCTGCCAGGGATTCTCTTTTGCAAAGAAAAATGTTGACACCAGGTCCAAAAGGACACCAGGACTAGTGATGTTTGAGGCAATCAGAAATGTTCATTTGGAACTGACTGGTTTCAACAGTGAATTCACCAGCTCTCAAAGCCACTGATTAGATATTTATGTTTGCTCAGAGGCAAAATAACTCTGAACAAAGGACAAGTTTAGGGTAAGAAGGCTACATTCCTATCTAGAGTGAGAAATAGTTCCTCATTGAAAATTTAGAGGTTGTGTCTGGATAAGATAGCATGAAATAACAGTAGTGATAATAGAAAACTAACCTGCCAAGGACGGTGTACTTTTTAAAATTGGGTCTCATACCATCTTTTTTAATTAGTCTTTTCTTGCAGTGTTATCTGGTACTTTATTGGGATGGTAAATAGCAACAAACTTCTTGTCCTGGAGTAAGTTGAAATCCACATCTCTACATCCTTGGTACCAGGTATAGAACAGGGCTCTGAAAAGTGCCCTATCCCTGTCATCTATTGCAACTCACCATCCCTCAGTCTCCTGCCCATGCATGGTCTATGTCTTCAGACTGCCATGTGGACAAGCTCATCACATCCCTTCCAATTCTGATTTAGTCCCTCTCACCAAACACCAGGTTCTTTGTTCTTAAATTAAGACTCATTTTTTTAGAGCAGTTTTGGGTTCACAACAAAATTCAGAGCAAGGAACAGAGATTTCCCATAAACTCTCTGCCACCAGATGTGCTTAGCTTTACCCACTATCAACATCCCCCAGCAGAGTGGTACATTTGATGAAACTGTGGAACCTACATTAATGCATCATTATCACCCAAAGTCTAGAGTTGACATTGTGGTTCACTCTTGGAGTTGTGCACTTTATGGGTTTGGAGAAATATATTATAACTATGCATATCCTTAAGGTTTCTTATGGAGTATTTCACCACCCTAAACACCCTCTATGCTCTTCTGCATATTCATCTTCCCCCAACAACCTCCAGCAACTGCTGATCTTCTACTGTTTCCATACTTTTACCTTTTCCAAAATGTCATATAGTTAGACTTATACCCTACATAGATTTTCATACTGGCTTTTTTATTTAACAATATGTATTTAAGGTTCTTCCATATCCTTTCATGGCTTGATCATTTCTTTTCAGCACTGAATAATATTCTACTATCTGGATGTGTCACAGTCTATTTATTCACTTGCCTACTGAAGGACATCTTGGTTGCTTTCAAGTTTTGGCAATTATGAATTAAGCTGCTATAAACATCCACATGCAGGTTTCTGTGGACATGCATTTTACAATCCTTGGAGTAAATACCAGGGAGTGCAATTTCTGGATCCTATGCTAAGAGTGTGCTTAGTTTTGTAAGAAACTGCCAACTGTCTTCCAGAGCATCTGTACCAGTCTGTATTTCCACAAGCAGTGAGTGGGAGTTCCTGTTGTTCTACATGCTGACCAGCACACTGAGAGACCTCTACAACCTCACCAAAATGGATTTGTTTATAAAACGCTATTAACATCAAGTGTTGGCAAAGA